GATGCTTTGTTGTTTTTATCTTCAACCGTTTTTAACTTTTGGAATGCAGGTGTGAAATGTGTTGGTGTGTCTTTTGATTTTTCTAAAGCATTTGACTCTGTTCCTCATTCTCTCTTGTTAGAAAAATTATCCCGTTGTGGTGTACGTGATTCCTTGTTGTCTCTTCTCCTTCTTCTGTTCCTTCTGGTGTTCCTCAAGGCAGTGTGCTTGGGCCCCTTTTATTTCTGATTTTTATTAATGATCTACCTCTGTCACTTCCACCTAATTGTGAAATCTATCTCTTTGCTGATGATGTTTTTTTGATCGTTCCTCTTTCCCCTACTGATTCTTCTAATTTTTCTCATGTTCAAAACTGTATAAACTCTGTTTCTCACTGGTCTTCTTCCAATCTCATGTCTTTGAACGCTTTTAAATGTTCTTGGCTTCCTTTCTCTTTCAACATATTTTCGTACGTTTATAATCAGTTGTATCTCAATGGTGTTCTTCTTTCTGTTGTTTCTTCTGTGCGTTGTCTTGGTGTTCTTGTTTCGCACGATCTTAGGTGGAACGATCATGCCAAGGACATTGCCCTTGCTTGTCGGCGCAAGCTCGGAGCATTGAATCGTGTCTTTGGATTGGCTCCAACTGAAATTCGGCGTCGAATCTATCTTTCTTCTATTCTTCCTAAAGTCGACTATTGCTGTAACTTGTACGACAGTTCGTTTTCTCTTACTGTTCTTGATTCTGTAAACAAACTCGCTTCTCGTATTATTTTGCTCGCAATTTTGATTACCGTTCTTCTAGTTCTCTACTTGTGTCTCATCTTTCCCTTCCAAATCTCTCTCTTCGTTGTAAATACTTTAGACTTTTACAGTTTTTCAAAATTTATCATCGTTTAAGTCCCGTTTCTCTCTTTTACCCTATTCATCGTTCTCACTACTCATCTTTACGTCTTCATCACTCTAAATACGTTCGTCTTCCACCTTCTGTTGATGGTTTTTCTCCACAAACGGTGCATTCTTCATTTTTTTATTCAACTATTACTGACTGGAATAATCTTCCAGAGTCAGTTATTTGTCTTTCTTCTTTTATGTCTTTCAAAACAGCTTTACTTCAGTATATCTTCCAGTGAAACGCTTGTCAGTTAAGCATTCATGCTTGTTCTTTTTTTGTTTTTTTTTAAAAATTTTTTGTTTTCCTTTACCACTTCTGGTTCTAATCTTAGCTGTCTTCTTTATTTTGTTATTTCTTTTATTACTATTTTGGTGTTGTTTGACTTGAGTCATTATTATTACAGGTCGGTGACCTTTGATGACTCTCACTTTTTGTGAATAAACAATCTTAGTCACTCTTAGTCTCTCCTTTTCGTGAATAAACCAATCTTAGTCCTAGTCCCATGTAATGCAAAATCAGCACACCAATGGTCTATGTATAAGTGCATTCAGGGGTGTTAGCAGCGTTTTGGTTGCTGACAGCAGTGTTTCTAACGAGAATTTAACACAAAGTAGTCTTTCACGTTTCCCCTGCTAAAAACACAGTGGAAATCGAATTTTCAAAGTGCAAGACCACTTTGCTCGTGCCTGCACAATAAATCATTAGAAATATTGGCTGCTAGTCCTAGTTTAAATCCTTGCTGCACATCCCGGAACTGTCAATAGACTAGCCCTTAAAATAAGACTTTTATGAAAGATTTCGGTGAAACTAGCTATAACAGCTGATATTAATCTTCAACATCAAATTCAACTGAGTAATTTTTTTTTCTGTTCTATTTCTCCACCATTATGAATATCGTTTTCTTGACAGATAAAATTGACAATTCTCAGATAATTCGATAGGGATCAATTAACCGCTAGTTTTGACAGCAAAGGTTGTCAAAACATTCTACAGTACAGTTCAGTCTGCCGGCCATAGGTAGTTACCATTTCTCAATAAATCTGTCCTCATTTCAGAATGGAATGGGATCTACTTAGACGTTTATGCATAAAGATAGTCAGAAAAATCAAAGAGACCACCAGCATTACTTATTAGTCAAAAGAAGAGCAATTATATTGGTCCATATTTTAATATTGCCGTACTGACCATTTGAATTGCCGCTTTCTGCCATCATTGTGGTCGTATTCACAGCAACATACACTAAGTGAAGACAGTAGATTAGCGAATTGCAAGGTGCATAAAGGTCTAAGTTTAGAAGCCGTGTATTTGAAGACCTCGTATTTTAATTATTTATTAAGGTTTAAACGACAAAACTTTTCCAACTAACGGGATCTTTTAAATTTAAAATTTTTCTCTCCTTGTACGGCAAATTTATATCTCGCGATCTAAGCGTTTTTCAGATCAATGGCCGATAGACTGGTTTACTTATTAATCAATTTTGTTTTCGTTTATCTTCGCATCTGATCCGATTTGATTCGTTTTTCATGTATCCAATGAAATGTTTGTATAGTATTCACCAAAAAGATGTTGCTTGAGTTCTACAAAGAATGTTGATCGATTTTTTCAGATTATAAAAGTTTTTAAGAGCTCTTTGTTGATAATGTTTCCGTCTTTAATTTTAGAGTTCTACTGCATAAATAGGCTAACATAGATGTTGATCAATTAGTCGTGCATTATTTGTACAGTACGAGGAGTTTGGAATTCGATGACCTCATGTCATTGGAGTTGCCAGATGCTCAGATCAGAAATACGAAAAAAAATTTCAAAATGCGGAAAATTGCGTAAATTGTTGTCAGAATGCGGAAAAAAAACGATTCAATTAGACCGATTCCGGTGTAACTGCCATGTGGATGCTCGGTGACAAAACCGACTGATAGTTTCCGGCTTGAAAGCAAAAAATGTGGTTCGAATTGAATAATTTGATCAATCAGTTTCTTCGACGATGCGGTCTATATATGCTTGGCCTAATCCTTTTTCAACTTTTTTCTTACGAGGTAGTTTACTACTAGAAACAAGCATCTAAAGTTGAGATTTCATTATTTAGTCGGCCATATTTGACCTCTACACATTTTTTCTTCTGGTACCTACACGTAGCAAGGTATAACTAGTTTTCAACAACTGCTGAAGTTACCTGCTATTGGGAGCTGTTATTAGCAGGTAACTTCTTACAACGGAAAAAACCACGGACTTTCCTTTTTTCAAATTTACAGTGCTGTGATCCATAAAAAGATGATTCCAGTTGACATGTAAATCGGGGGAGTAAATACTGTGAGGGCTGACAAAATTCAGTTGCATGAAAAAGTGTAATCAGTCTCAAATGTGTAGGACTCAAATTCATTGGATAAAAAGCGCAGATGTGGTGAGAAAATATTAAAAGTCCTATTTAAGACAGTCAGATCTTTCGGACAAACACGAGAAATCGATAATGGCGCTATTGAGTATCTTAAAAAAGTGACATGCTAGCCGACTCTCTCCCCAAATTCTACGGAGAGTCCCCGAAAAATGGCTTATCCTCGAGGATGCCCCCCTCGAGTCACTTCAAACTCTCTGGAGAGTCCCTGAAATGTATACAAAATATGTAATCCCTATGGACTTCCTGGAAGTCCCTGACATGTGTAATCCCCGAGGAGTCCCTGCCAATTCCCCATTCACCGTTTATTTTGCAGATAGGCAATATATAAATATAATATAGTTCTATGATAAAATTTTACGAATTTTCTTAATGTGTCAACCTTCGTGCTACAATGGTACCGATGATAGTACCTGGTACTGAATTACTAATTAGTTATATGAAACTAAAAAAGATGGACCAATAGATCTACAGGAAGACCCAGGGAGTTTTAGGCGAGTCACGCGAAACGTTCGTGGGAGTGTCGATTAGGTCATCTGGTGGCGTCATCAGGGACTTTTCTCATTAAGGACTAATTGTCCGAAAGATCTGATCACTTCAAACAGAATATTTCTTTATTTCGACTTAGAATTGAAATTTCCATGCAACGACTTTCAGTTCCACACATCAAAAAAGAGATGGACGTATTTACCTTCGATTGTACCAGTCATCGATTGTCAGGCCACACACTAAAACGGATCTTACATCTTTGTCGTATCGATTCTCGTCTTTTGAATTTTTCAACTTATCCAAATACTTTTAAATCTATTATAATAGAAATTATTGTAAGAAGATTAAAAAAATTGCTTCAGTTTTATTTTTATATAAAACGAAATGCGTCGCAACCATCTTATTTTCTACTGTACCACGATCAATATCCAACAATTAACGATCAATAAATAACGTTTTTTTCTACAAAAAACATTTGACTATACAACTCTTATGTATTAAGTTTTGCGTTCAAGATGTCTCTGACTAAGACACTTGTTCCTCCATCACTCTCTGCGTCTTCTAAAACAATTAAAAACGCGTCTAACAACAGTTGATAAATTGCCATCTTATCGAGTACAAATAAGGAAAATCTTTTTCAGCAAGGTCAGAGAATTAGTAGCGAGGGTGTCCGTAATCGGATGACTTATAACTATTGAAACGATGATTTAGTGAATGCCAACTTGTTACCACGTCAAAAAGTGCCCTTCAACCTTAGATTTAAAAATATTTGAATAGCTTGAGAAGTTTAAAGTCGAAAACCGACACGAAAAAGCTGTAACCGCCGTTTAATTCCCTGGTTTTCAACTGAAATCATCTTTTTAAGAATCATAGATCATCAAATTTCGAACTCGTTGAGTAAACATTCGTCTAAAAAAACACGCTTCAAGAAGACGCTAGAAAAAACTATTTTCAAAAATAGTTTCAGTGCATCACTTCTTTTCAGGGCTGAAAGATAAGTTATTATTGTACTAACTTTAAACAAATCGCCTTTTACACAGGCATGACCGTTTAGACGGCATGCAAAGATTTAAGTTCTTACTTAAAATAATTTATTGGATTTTTGTTTGAGAAAAAAAGGATTATTTTAAATGAAACTTATGTCAAACAGAAGAATTACAACCAAGCCTGGAATGAGAGTCCATCAAAAATATAAATTATCTAAACATCAAAGTTTTAGTCATAACTTGAATACTTCTGCTTCTTCTATTTACACATCTATTTGCCAACCCCTTTGATCTTCATCAGCTGTTTCGTAGATTTGTTCTGTAAAGTAAAATAGAAAGAATAAGGAAGAATAGTTTGTGTAAAATAAACAGAGAAATAATTACCTATATCATCCTCGTAACAAAATGGCATTGTCGCAATCGGTAGAGGTTTTGAAGCAGTGTTTCTCAAATTTTTAGTTAATGATACATAGCATTCCACAATATCGACAGCTGGACCAAGTGTTGTTCGCGTAACGCCTGATTTCTCGTCGTAAACCGTTAGTGGAATCTGAAACATACAACAGAAGGTTTTTTTTTGAAGTTCGCGACATTTTCAGATACTTTGACATACATAGAACTTACTTTTTCGTGTGGTGCACTATGAATCCACATACTGGGTTTACTTTTCAGCCACGTTTGAACTTTACGCATACGTTTTATTGTAGCTCGTTCTTGTAAACAAAAAGTTGATAAATTCATGTTTTTTGCCTCCGTGTTTTATTACTGTATTTACTTCGATCTGATTTTGTAGCATGTTTGCAATAGAGATAAAGCAAAAAGAACAGTACACTTAATAGCATAACAATTGCGCCATAAATTCCAGTCTGAATAAAAATATAACTATCTAAATACAAATCAAAGAAATGTTTATTCTAATTTCTACAAGCACAGATTATTCTAAAACCTCGTTTTTGAAGTCGAACACGTTTGAACGATGTTCCATATTGATTGGTTACATAACATTCATATTGTCCAAGATCTTGTTTATTTATATGTCGTATCATTAAACTTGTTTCATAGCGATTGTCTGATGTATCGCGCAATGATACTGTGTCATATTTCATATTTGATGATAGAGTGACATTGTTAAACATCCAATAAGCATCCTGTAAACTATAATTAAATATTATCGCAGTCAAAATAACAATAGTATATTATCACATACCGTTGGTTCTGTATCTTTTTCGACGTGACATTTTAAGACAGCCATTGATCTTAACGACGCTAGAACTGAAGGCATATCAAATAATCTTGGTGGTCCTACAACGAGAAAATAATTAAAAAAGAAGACTAGAAATAACGCTCGTACTTCAACGTATACTACCGGGTGCAAGGACTTTGGTTGTTGCAAATATTTTTGTGAATTGACCAAGCGATGCTACACAAGCGTATAAACCAAAATCATGCTCTGTCACATCCGGTATTTGATATGATTTACCACCGCCAACAATAGTACCATCTTTAAACCATAGAATGCCAGCATGTGGATTAGCGTCAACATCACATGTCAATGATAGAGCATCACCAATATTGATGAGTGTATATGGTTGTGGTACACTACGAAATTTAGGAGAATCTGTAACAGAGAAGTAGAAAAATGATGGTTTGTTGCCTTCATCTATTACTTACAATAAACTGTCAATGCTATTGTAGCTTGAGATACGCCGGCACTGTTCAACGCAATACAAGTCAAATTTTTATCATGCATTTCGCGTGTAGCAATCAGTTTTAGTGGATATTTTCCGTCTTCTGTTGGCGACATTCGGTCTAATATTGAATCACCTACTTTCCATCTAATTCAACATGTATCTGTTTATAAATAGAACAAAAATGTTCAAAAAAGAAATATGATTACATACACTAGTTGAGTGATTGCTGGACGAGACTCGGCCATACATTCAAACCAATAGATTTCATTCTCTTTTAACTTTGATGGTGATAATATCAATTTAACAACCGGTTGATCTAGTAAAACATAAAATGTTGAATCTGTTATTTTGAGATCGTGTAACGTTGATGATCAATTATAACTCATTTAACATTATCTCAATCGTGTTACAAAATATTAAAAGAAGTATAAACGCCAGTTGTACAAAAAAAAGTCTTCTAGTACCATTTGCTACAGGAATCAATCATATTTTCTAAGAGATTAACTCCACCGTTATAATAATGTTAAGTTAAAGAATGGAAAAACGTGACATCGATGGGATATAGCTGAAAACTTACAATCGACAGCAATCGTTGATGATGCAGTTATAGGTATGTTCAATGCGGGATGTGTAACTTCGCATGTAATTTCTTTACCATGTTGATTAATATTGGCTTTAATTGTAATTGTTGATATAGTTTTTAATAATTTTGAATTTGTTTGCATTGCTTCTTCACTTTTCGTTATCGTTACATTCACGACGGGTGCACTGTCAAATTTCCATAAGAAAGTTGTTGATGGTCGAGAATTGTACGCGATACAGTTCATCTGAAACTCTTTATCGGATATAACTGCTGGTGAAACATAATTAAGGTCAACTTTATTTGGTGGTACCAACACAGTCAAATTCGCAAAATCCGATAAGGCTTCAAGCGCTTCTACCGTTCGTCCTATTTGACACTGATAAATGCCATCGTCATCCAAACTCACATTTAGAATTTTTAAACTATTTATTCCTGTATATAGATTATAAAAAGTAACCAATGTATTAAAAATGAGTTGAAGAAACAAGGTTTACCTGCTGATTTGTCTCCAACAATTTCATATCGAGGTAAAAAATAAAGTGGACGTTCGCGTCCCATTGTGCAATGTCCATCTTTACACCTGAAAATGTAGAAATTGATGAATTAATCTTAAATTTTCTACTGAGTTATTATCTTACCATGCCACATTACCAAATTGATTAAAAACTGTACATTCCAATGTAACTGTTTCACCAAAAAGTATTTGAGCTGATTTTGGTTGAACGACAATTGTTTGGAGATATTGTCCGTTGCCTATGATAAAACAGATTTATGAAATTTTTAAGCATATAGATTAAACATTAAATACCTTGAAAAATAATTCTGCTTATCAAGAATAATTCATGAAAAGTTATAATTATCACTGATGAGATGAATTTATTCATTCGAATGAAGTTAGTTCACATACATAAAGGTAACGGAATCTGTTCTGTTCTGTTGAAATAAAAGAAAGAAATAAACTCAAAAAATAAGAAGTTGAGCATGAAAAAATAATTGACAACAGCAACAACAGTTGCAAATTTAAATGTTATGTATGACGTAACAGACATATGTATGTATTACTATTTATGAAATATGAGCACAGCCAAGTTGATAGTAAAAAATTCCATTGAACATTAGATATCAGAAAACTATACAAGATATAAGATTTCTTCAATGCCAAAGCGTTCAGTTACATTGTCAGCAAAAAGGATAGTTTATAGACACCGCTATCTCAAAAGAATGGTATCTATTACCTATTTTTTAGATTTCAGTATTATTTTGTATTAGTTTTTGACCAATCATCAGGCGCAAATTATGAAAAGACTTTTAAACAATATTTCTATTTTTTTTTCAATTTTCTATTTTTGCAAAAAGTTTTTGTTAGATATCAAAGGTCATTGTGGAACGAAAATTTCATGAGATTCCACGAGATTTCACGGAACGATACGAAAATTTTCAAAGCATCTATGAGACGGAATAAAAGTGCTATCTCATGGAATTATGTTAAATCATATGGAAGTTAATGGGGAAAAACAGATTTTTATAGTTTCATATGTCGAACTAGGTTGTCTGCACTAGACTGCTTAACTAGCAATAGTTTCTGAGAAAAAGTTTATTATGTTTCTCTGAAATCTCAAGGGATGAAAATTTTCTTCTGCAGAAGAGCACTTTCATCACATTCTGTCCCACGACGATTTTTGCCTCTGCTGAATACTACTTGAGAGGATTAAATTTACCGGAATATACAAAAATTGTTAATTTATCTAATGTTTTTAATAAATATATACCCTTCTTAAATCTTTCTTTTTGATTGTTTTACATCATTAGTGAAAACAAGTATTACAATTCTTCCTCAACATGTAATTTTATCACCAAAGGGAGCATTTCAATGAAGTTGACCAAAGTAGGAAGACTTATAAAACAATGTGAATCTCTATCTCTTTTCATCCTTGAAGAGTAGTATATTTTTCTCTTATCAAATTATAAGCACATTTCGTAGCTCAGTAAAAGATAGACATGCTCGAATGAACTGTTCGCTCCTTTAGTTCAAACACTAATTTTAGTGTCGCCTGGAGTATCCAGTTTTTTTCTTCAACGTCAACATTTATCTGTCTGTCTGTATATAACAGGTCGCGTCATATATCTATATTTTGTTCTCCAGTTCCTTGTTATTTTCATTCAGGTGGTCAAACATCAAGTCTACGGCTGATTTTTCAAAGATAAATAGTGAGTTTGGGTTTTAACATGAGAAACACGTAACACATGGATAGAACTCATCGACTTACCTGGGAAAAAGCCAATTTAAGATTTTTCAACGTCATTTTCGGATAAAAAAATTTAAAAATACTGATCTTTTGAACTTCAATCAAAAAGAATGAAATTTTCAAAAAAAAGCAACAAGTTTATCGTTATTTCTAAATCTTAAAAATATTTTTTTCGGATTGTTCATGCAAAGTGACATGTAGAACAGTTAATGTTATTAAAAGAAACTTAAAATAAAAAAAAACGCTGAATCCTAGGTAGAACTGTTGAGGTCGCATCGTGCTTCTTGCAAATCTATCCATGTTTTTTGTTCTAAAAGAAATATAATAACTCTTTTGCCTTCATTCTAATTATCATACCTGTGGGGAAGAAGTTAAGCATACGTTTTGGAAAATAATGTTTTATTGCTGAGCAAAGTCACTTTCATTTTTTTGTTGCATTTGGTTATTCAACGGGACTCGTCATTTACAAAAAAATTCAAAGTCAAAATAATTTCGTTAAAATACAATCATATAGCTAAAATTCAACGGAAATTTTAATAAAAATGAAATCAAAATCAACGCAAAATTGAAGCAAAATTATTCATGTACGAAAAATGTAGGAATAAATTTGCGGATTTAATATTAGTTTGACTTCTTTTGGATGTTTTGGCAAATGACGAGTCTCAGTGGATAACAAAATGTAACCAAACAATGAAAGTGACCTTTCTCAGCAATAAAACATTATTTTCCAAAACCCATGCTTAACTTTTTCCTCACAGGTATGATGATTTGTAAACAGTTTCAGAAAGAACTAACGTTTTTAGGTATACCTGACGGTTTTAATCGATAACAATACTTTATTATAACGAATCAAGAATTTCCAGAGAAATTATTGGACTTTAGTGGTTCTGTTGTCAACCCGTTGATTTTATAGAACTGTCAGTTGTGTACTTTCTCCATAGTACATGCATCCTGCCATGTTGATCGTGAACATCTGTATGGACAAAATATGAAATCCTAAAGGAACTTTTACCTATGTTCAAAAATTTGTTCAAAAAAAGCTAAAATAATCTGACGATAGAATGAAGATCCTCAGACGTTACTAAGGCATTCTCAAAGCGTTATCTTTATATTTTTAAAATTTAAATGTATAAATAGATACTACTGTGTAATAGGACTACTTGTGCAGATTTTTTTCAGAGTAAATTTCGTCGATTCTGCTTATTATACGTACAAAGATTGTTTTTGTATACTATTGAGTTGTTGTCAATAACTTATTCATATCAAAAATGGGCCTACATACTACAATATTTGCACATAAAATAGACAACTGAATAGTAACTCATCTTTTTTAAGGGGGCTTCCCCTCAGTAAAAAACGTTTTTTATCTTACATCCGATTTCGATGGCGCTTACAGCGACTAATGCTTACTGACCAACTAGTTAATGCCAAAAATTCGAGATCGTAACGTTGCCGAGTTACTGCGTGATAATGGACAAAATGGGACTCTTAGCAAAAACGCTAAGACTTCTTTGCTGGAAGGAGCCGAAAGCTGCGGGTATTCTCAAATGGAAGTAGACATCTAAATCTAAAGTTTGTCTGTAGCGATTTTTGAATTTCGCTTACGTCCATTCTCAACACGTATATTAACACTAGAACGCCCGGAAATTTTCATGACCTAGAACGCCCAAAGCGGTCATTTTGACCGTTACTGTTTTTTTTAAAAATTTTATACTTACAAATGGTTCTGAATCCAAAAATGAATTGAAAATTCTGCAAAAAATAATTTTTGTGGGACAAATTAAAAGTTATGACATAATTTATTTTTAAATAAATTGTATGCAGTTTGTTTTATTAGGATAAAAATCACTAAACGGTCAAAATGACCGACCGCTACGGGCGTTCTAGTGTTAAATCAAAACTCTGAAAATGACCGCCAACTCGGAGGAGTATTTTTCACTTTTCACTGCACAGTAAACGAAATTCAAAAATCGCTACGGATAAAATTTAGATAAATGTCTTAGCTTCAAAATAAAAAAAGTTAAGGTTTTATGATAAATCGTCCAGGAGTAGCAATTCTGCTGTGTCAAAACCATATTCTAAGAAACGTTTTCATCACTCCATTAATTATATATAACTCAGCGTCTTTAGCAAACTATTATCGTTTTCAAAAAGCAATGTCCCTGACTAAATTTTGAATAACTCCCCCATAGAAAGAGATATCGATCTCTGGTTTTCGCAGATCGCTAGCCAACACTTTTTTGCATATAGCCATGCAAAAACACTCTCAAAAAATAAATTTAAAGTCGGTTTTCCAAGAGGATCTTTGGAAAAC